TGTGGCCCTCAAAGTCTGATCCTTCTGCAAATACACTCCAATTCGTGTTATCAAAAAAACGATGGTTTTTTACCTTTGAATTAGAGGTCAGGGGATCAGGGACAGAGAGAGATGGTCAGAGAGTCCGAGTTGAGGCAGTGGGGTGGCTTTGTAGGTATCTGGCGTTGGCGTTGACCTGGTCGGAAAGCTCACGTTTTTAAAGAATCCAGGCAGGACAGATTTCAGGTTTGCGTGGTTAAAATCTTCTGCCACGATCACAGCGCAGTCTGGGTGCTTTGTAAGCTGTTTATTAATGGAGCGCTGGAGTAGCTCCGTGGCTGACTTAGCATTAGCTTGCGGCGGCACATAAACTGCTATTATTGTGATCGCTTTGAGCTCTCTCGGCAAGTAGAAGGGTCTGCACTGCACCATCATGTATTCTATGTCCGGGCAGCAGTGAACACTTTAACTGTGTTGTTGGCGCACCAGTTATTGTTTACAAACACTAGCAGACCTCCTCCTCGTTTCTTACCGGACTCTTTGTTCCTGTCTGCTGTGAATGTAGCGTGGCCCGCTAGCTCAATCACAGTGTCTGGGGTAAAAGAGTCCAACCAAGTCTTTGTGATGATCATAACACAGTAATCCAAACGGCGTGAGGTGATCCGCAGTTGTAACTCATCCATCTTGTTATTTAGTGACCGTGAGTTGGTGAGGAAGAGGCTCAGAATATCCAGTCAGTGTGGGTTAGCACGTAGCCTAGCCCTCAGCTCCGCTGTCTTCTGTTTCCTGTGCCTCGGTCGCCTACGCCACTTCAGCGGTGGAATTGGAGTCAGTGACCCTCCGGATCTCAGGGGGAGTTGAGTCCCAGTCATTGTCAGCGAAGGTGTGCAGGTTTTTGTGATTTAGAACCGCAAGCAGTTCAGTTTTGCTGTACTGCATTCAAGGGCGTAGATTTGGCATGGACGGAAGGGACATGTCCCCACCAATATTCAGCGATTATTGAATTGTCCCCACCAATAATTTGATCTCTTCGAGTAAAGAAAATCAAACCGATAGAAAGAAAAAAAAACCCCTGTCAGCGTCTCATTCACCCAGCGGTGCAGAAAGAGTTAAATTACGTTCTCTACTGGGGTCCTACCTCATGTGACAAATATCGCCAATATGATTGGCTGAGCCTTTCAGGGAGCTCTGTTTAGTTTTAGCAGCGGCAAGCCTGCGCTGCAAGGAGGAGAGGAGGATGGCAGCAAAAAGGAAGAACCTGGATATAAGAAAGTATTTTTCAAAGAAACCTGTAAGTCACAAAGCCAAATTAACTCATAAAATGTGTCCGTCATAATAACGTTACAGGCTATGCTAGGCTTTGGCCCACATCAGTCTAAAATTGTATGTAACTAAGAATAACGTGTTTTGGAAACTAACTGCACAACATGCAGCACTATTAGTTATCTCAGTCTCCCACAGTAGCATTTCTAATTTTGACTGAAGCTGTCAGAGACAACGGCAGCCTCGAGCAAGCCAGGATATTAGTTTACAGAGGCTGTTAAAATTATATGTCTAATGTTAAAATGTTGGTGACACAATAATTTCATCCTAGTGGCACTGACTTATTCATAGGGTTAATTTTTGAGACAAAATATCATGAGGTAGTCATGATTTTGCAAATATTCCACCTTGTAATGCAGTTTGCACAAATTGTTTTAAAAATGCACTCACCCTACAAACATTACTAATGAGTTAAGATCTGCACAAATTGACAGAAACACTGAAGCAGCTACATATTTTATTCTTATTGTCATGTATGTCCTATTTGTCAGGTGACAGAAGAACCAACACAAAGCTCAGAGAGCAATGGTGGCACAAGGTCACAGGTGAAATTGGATGATGACTTGTTGGTTCATGGCTATTTGAAGCACATGTGTGACTGCATGTATGTGGAGTGTCTCACTGTTATTTATCAGGTGACAGAGGCAGCTCTGCCATGTTGTAGCTCAGACAGAGGTGAAGAGGTGAGGTCACAGGTGACTGACTGATGATTTGGTGCTGTAGATTAACTAGTATTTATTATCATGCCAATTGTTAGGCTGCTGACGTAAATTGATTCATTAGTGTATATATGACAAAGAATCTGAATTGACATGTCTCACTTTTTATATGGCACGAATCAATGTGTTATTTTATCAGGTGGCAATATGTTCACATAGTGGACATTGAGTTGTTGTGTGGGACACCAGTAGTCCATGTCTGTTGCTGTAACAGTAGTTCATGTTTAGAATAAAAAGCCCCAGCTCAATGATTTGATAGGGGCAATTGTGTGCCTAAAATGTTGCATAATTTTGCTGAGAGATCTTTTACTTTGTGGTAATCTTAGATGAGTAGTTTTATGGACAAAAAACACCAGGTCATTCAGTGTTCCCTTAGTGCCAAAATATAACAGATTTTGGTGTACTATAACTGAACTAATGTTGTTAAGTCCTTAAAGTCATATTCTTTTATTGCCATGACTGTATTTGAAACTATTTTTATTTTTGTATGATACCTGATTTATATGGAATATGGCTGAAGTAAACTAAAGCATAAAATACTTAGTCAGTCATTTGTTTAATAGTAATTTAACATTATATAATTCACATATAAAACTATGAATAGTGATTTTAAATGGTTTAAAAGCATGTAGAATAGCATATGTAGGCAAGTATATTTCTCCTCTTTTTATTAAGAAGCAAAAACAAAAAGGGGGAAAAAAAAAGAAACAGGGCAGGGTTTGGTGGTTGAATCATCCGTCCCCACCAATGTCAAAACCAAATCTACGCCCTTGACTGCATTTGTGCTCCTGCATGTTGGAGAAAAAGTGAAACAAAAATACACTAAATAAAAAGAAAACCTTTAAGTTGAGGAGACCGCCGGGCCACCATCTTGGGTACTCCTTCACTCCTAGCACAGATGAAATTAGGAGCACAAATGGTAAATGGACTGGTTCTTATATAGCGCTTTTCTCCTCTCACTGAGCACTCAAAGCGCTTTATACAACTTGTGCATCCACCCAATCATACCCATTCACACAAGCACTTTATCTAAGGTTTTTAGTGCTTCTATCTAACATTCGCTCGCATTCACACTCCGATGGATGCATCGAAGGGCAACATGGGGTTAATATCTTGCCCAAGGATATTTGGCATGTAGACTGGAGGAGCCTGGGATCGAACCGCCTACCTTCCGGTGAGTAGGTGACCCACCTGAGCTACAGCCACCCCCTTACGACCTCAGATCCCGCTGAATTATTACTAAGCGGAGGGGGAAAAAAGAGCAGAAATGGGTCTAGAGCTATAACAGAAACACATATGAATTCATGAGGGTATTCTTTTCACGACAAAACCTCTTTGCTTCATCATCATGGCACTCTGTAGTATGCAAGAGTAGGCACACTCAGGCACCTTATGCGACACAGAAACACATGCACACATTTCACAGTTTAGGTGTTGTGTAAGATTTTAACTACTGACCTGAATAAAGCTTACAGCTAAACACACACACACACACACACACACACACACTTGTTTTTTAATGTAGGAATAAATGTGATTTGCTTTTACTGTTGTGTGTTTACTGTTTTATGTCCTAAACTTAATGTTAAGTAGGCCAGGGTAGAGTCTAATAACAAAAAAAAAAGGGGGGGGGGGGGGAGAAAGAAAAACACCACTATGTTTCCTTTTGATGTGTTCAGCAGTGGCCATATCATTTAAGCGATCAGAGTGATAATCAAAAAACAGGTATAATATGGTCACTGATGACTACTGATGATCTTTCACACTGAGAAATAACTGTCACTAGACAATTACCAAATCATTCAAATACATCCAATTAAAGTCTAAACTATAACAGTATGTAGTTATCCACATGTATTTTATTATTAAAATTGCATTTAACTTTTAAGAATATAATAATATTATTTTGTCCAGTCTACCCTCTTGTGCCCAAATCCCCCACTTCCTTCTTTTACAAGTTCCTGCACTTGATATACTGTCTACCAAAGGCAATAAAGAACTATGAAAGGCAACTATAAAGCTCTTACATAGACTAATGCACATCTGGTAGACAAAGGCACAGGAGGAAGAAAAAAGAGTCACACAAAAAAGGCAGGCAATCTCCCATAAGCTAAATTTAAAATATGTGACTATGTTCTCATGAGTTCTGAGAGTGTGCAAGCAGTCACCCACTTCCATTTAGAGGAGTAAATTAAAAAGAAATTAAAACGGGTTGCCTGAAAGCAGAAGTTAAGAAGCAACAAATCAGGAACTAGTTATTCTAGTGACAAGGGAATTTTCTTTCTTCTTTCAAGTCACTTGTGACCACTATAAGCAGGAACTACTCTGTTATTATTATTATTGTTATTGTTGTTCATGGGGGGGGAATTAGTCAGAAAGGAAAAGGGATGCTTTTCTAAAAGTTTATTTTTCATCAAATGCACAAAATCTGTTGACATATGGTTCAATAAAAGGTATGTAGTGCAAAGCTTTATTTGATCTCTGTTACAATAATTTTGTGGTTCCCCCCCCCCCAAAAAAAAAAAAAAAATATAAAAATAAAAATACTGACAACGTCACAGGGGTGTACTCATCTTTGACTATGTCAGCTGGGATAGGTTCAAGCCCCGAGACCCCAAGCTGGATAAGTGGTTAACATAATAGATGGGCAAATGAAGGATGAAAACAATGACAAGAGTTGGCTACAAGCAAAGAGAAAAATAAAACAGGCTGAATATGGAAAATTACAATTGCAAATAATGTTTTTACTCAGGCAAAAACAAAAATACCACAGACAAAGCAAAAGACTTAGACCTAAGACTACTTCTCTTCAACTATATCACTCTCAGAAGACATAGGGATGAAGGAAGAAGTCAAAACGGTCTGCCCTGCATTTTGAATGCAGAAAATGAGACATTTCAACTAATGTATTTAATCAGTTATATGTTTTTCCACACTGAAAGGTATTACAAATATTATGTTGTGTCTGTTACTTGTGCAGATAAGATAAAGGGGATAAACCATAGAATATTTTTTTCTTAGATTAAAAACAGAAAATAAATGTAAAAAATGACAGAAAATTTATAAAGTTACTAAACGCTACATTTAACTGTCACAGGCAATATAAATAAATACAATACATACTTTAGTTACACTTCTGTGATACTATGTCTAATAATATGTCAAAAGATCAACACCTATAAGTTTGAGACTGCTACCTGTGTCCAATGTGTCAATGTGACGGTGAAGTTGAGGTTATATATAAAAGACAACATATTCGTGCACAAATACACCCATATATAGGACAAAATCTTTTAGAACCACTAGATCACGGAGAACCATTACGTGTATATTTTAAGTAATTATATAGAAACATTATTTATTTATTTAGTTTTTAAAGAAACCACAGTTACAACATTTTGTTAAAATGGTCCATCTCAAATCCAACATGTTAAAACATGCTATGGCACACTCTCATTTGATCACGTAACAGGGATGCGGTGCACCTGCCCTCACCTTCAGCGTGGCCCTGTCTGCACTGAGGCGCCTCAGTGTGTTTTTCTGATAAGCCGCACTTCTTTTCTTAAGAGTGTCGGTGTCTGTATTTGATGCGAAACGAAAATCGCCTCTCCACGACCCGGTGGTCATAAAGGAATCATATCGCTCATCATTCAGCAAGGTGCCGCAACGGCTAAAATCTGCAAAACTAGAGGGGCAATAGGTTGTGGGGAAAACGGGCAGACTGGCTGTGGTTGAACGGTAAACGTAGCCACGCCGACAGAGTTTAAAATAAAACACTCCGCTGATTAGAAGGATAAACATAGAAGACACAGTTGAAAGAGCGATTATCAAATAGAGCGTTAAGTTATCGCTCTCTTGTGACTCATCTGCAAACTCTAAAAGTTCACTTAAAACCGGGAGCCCATCACCAAGCATTATGCTGACTGTCGCAGTGGCAGAGAGAGATTCGAGCCCGTTATCCGTTACTAATACAACAATAGTATGTTTTGGTTCATCGTCCTCTATGAATGTTCGCGTTGTTCTGATTTCCCCTGTATGCAGATCTACCATAAACACGTTAGGCCGTGTTGCTTTGATTATTCTGTAAGAAAGCCATGCGTTATGACCTGAGTCAGCGTCCACAGCCACCACCTTAGTAACCAGGTAACCTCTAGGCGCTTCAGCTGGTACCATATCTTCAGCAATGTAACCGCTACTTTGCACAGGATATAAGACCACAGGTGCGTTGTCATTTTGGTCCTTAATAAACACATTTATAATGCAGGTGGTGGAAAGTGAAGGCCCACCGCCGTCTCTAGCTGTCACTTTAATTTGGAAGTAAACTGACTGTTCGTAGTCAAACAAGCGTGAGGTAAAGACCTCCCCCGTGTCTGAGTTGATGCTTAAGAAAGATGACACTTCTGAGTTTGTGTCCTTTGATATTTGGTATTGGATTTTAGCGTTAGACCCGTCGTCAACGTCTTCCGCTTTGACTTTAATGACAAACGTGCCAACGGGTTGATTTTCCAAGATGTTGGCATTGTACTCGCTTTGCATAAATGTTGGGGGGTTATCATTTATATCGCTAATCACGATTGGTATAACTTTTACACTAGTAAGTGGGGGAGAGCCCGCATCAGTGGCAGTTACTGTGAGGTTATACTCTGGTTGCACTTCCCTGTCCAATATTCCATCAGTCACTAGCATGTAATAGTTTTTGACCTCCGATACTAATTTAAAAGGAACATTTTTTGAGATCGTACAGGTGACACGCCCACTGCTCCCAGTGTCCATATCATATATATTAATCAGAGCAACCATAGTCCCTGGTTTGGAGTCTTCAGCCACGTTAGAAGAGGCCGACTTTATTTCTATCACGGGCTTATTGTCGTTCACGTCAATCACATCAATTATAAGTTTACAGTGTGAGGCCTGGCCACCGCCATCTTTAGCCTGAACATCTAGGTCGTGTGAGCTAGCTTCTTCATAGTCAATGACACCTGATACGCGAACTTCTCCACTTAAAGGGTCAATTTCAATAACACCTCCCAACTTGTCAGACAGATGACTGAAGAAATAAGTTATCTCCCCATACACCCCCTCATCCAGGTCCGTGGCCTGTAGCGTGGTTATGACAGTCCCTATGGCTGAGTTCTCTGGCACAGAGGCTTTGAAAACTCGCTGGCTAAAAACTGGGACATTATCATTGGCATCTAAAACACGGATAAGGATAGAAGCAGTTCCTGATCTAGCCGGATTTCCCCCGTCAATTCCATTGATTTTCAGTACATGTTCAACTTGTGCCTCCCGGTCCAATGCCTTTTTAAGAACTAGCTCAGGATAAGCATTTCCGTTCATTTGGTTACCCATTTCCAGTGCAAAATTGTCATTCTGGCTCAGTGTATATTCACGGACAGAATTCGTGCCGAAATCGGGGTCATGCGCGCTCTCTAAGGGAAAGCGCCTCCCCAGAACTGTGGATTCCACTAAATCCAGTTTTATCTCCCCCGTAGGAAACACTGGGCTGTTGTCATTTATATCTGTAATGTCCAAAACTATGCTGAATGCTCGAAGGGGCTGTTCAAGTAAAAGCTGATACTGTAAAATGCAGGCAGTGGCTTGTGCGCAGAGCTCCTCTCGGTCTATCCGTTGGCTGATCAAAAGATTGCCTGACGCAGTGTCCAGTTCACACAGCTGGCTTGTTCCTTCTGCAACAACACGGGCTCGACGAGCATCAAGCTCTTTCACCTCCAGCCCCAGATCCCGCGCAACGTTTCCAATCACAGAGCTCCTCTGCATCTCTTCTGGAAGAACATAACGGACTTCTCCAAACGAAACAGCGGAAAGGAGACTAAGAAATGAAAAATGCAGCCACCACTTTAACTGAAGTCGATGCATCATCAATAAACATTCTTTCAGAAATGGATGCACTGTCGACATTATAGCTAAGTCGCTAACATACATCCAAATACCGAACTGAAAATGCAACTGCAATCCTACGATTCCCTGCTTCTCTGGCTGAGTTAATCATGCTCTATTAAGAAAGCTGTCAGCTCGGATTTCTCTCTCTCTCTCTCTAACCTCTTTTTTCATCTCTCTCTCCCCCTCTCTCTAACTCCCTCTCTCAGACAGCTCCACATACAGCCTCTCTCCTTTTCTCCCCTCATACACACACGATAAAAAGAGAAATGCGCATGCATACACAGCCGCCGGTCCTAACCCAATACTCTAGTTCCACTGACACAGATAGAAGTAGACATGAGCATCCATGACTCAGACTTTATAAAAGAGCGTCACCAAGAGACTGAGAGAATAACTGCAGCTGTCTGTATTATCACCTTGCACCACGTAACCAAAGTGAGCTCAAGTTGGGAGCTGAACATTAACTGCTATAACTACTAATAAGACAAATACGATCATTGTACTTGAAACAACACGATATGGACACAGTTAAAGCAACATTTATATTATATAACAGAGTCTAGTATGGGATCCAGGATCTGATGTAGGCCCCGATTGATTATGTGATTGATTAGTATTTTGATAGACAAAGTAGTTCTGACCTACAACTACACAATTCATTCTCTATTTATTAAACACATTGTCCCAAAAGGACAGGGACAGGAGTTATTTCTACACAAAATGTTATTTATGGCAAATCATTTGGACTTAAACACACACACACACACACACACACACACACAAAGTCATGAAATGAAAAGCAGAAGAAGCTATTGATGATCTCGCACGCTTGGCGTTACTTTGTTCAACTTAATCCCTCTAGTGGCTGCTACGGAGCACTCCAAAATCCAGTTTATTTCCATAAGTAATGACACTAAGAGACAGATGAATCACTCTATCGCTCTACTTCCTCTTGCTGAAACAGCAACACCATCCAGCAACATACACATAAATATATCCATGGCACTGCAACTCTAGCTACAGATTAACAATAATATATCCACATATGAAAAGAACTGTGACTAAGTGATTATCCATACATCAACAGTAGCTATTACATGCTTATCTCAGATAAACAGGGAAGTCTAGTATTAAAAGGTGGCAAGTTTGAGGGAAATGCAGTGGCAAAGGGCTTTTTCCCTCTCTGCACTGTGAAAAATATGACAGCTTGATACATGAGGGTTCATAACGTGTTAAAATATTTGAAAAGAGAATTTGGCTTCATGGGGCATAAAACAAAGGCATATATACAAAATAAACTAATCTCACAAAAAGTAGCTGGATAGGATGATCATGCAGCTATGAAGTCTCAAACTAAATAACACTACAACAATGCCATTTCACGCTGTAAAGGTTTAGTCGGTGTAAATTAAAATAAAATAAAATAAAATAAAATAAAATAAAATAAAATAAAATAAAATAAAATAAAATAAAATAAAATAAAATAAAATAAAATTAGTCAACAGTGTTGTGTCAGTGGGCAAGACATTTTTGTGAAGTTGTCATATTTTCATCAGTAACTAACTCGTGTTATTCTATAACACAGGTGTCAAACTCCAGGACTCGAGGGCCGGTGCCCTGCAGATTTTAGATGTGTCCTTGATCCATCACAGCTGATTTAAAAGGCTAAATGACCTCCTCAACATGTGTTGAAGTTCTCTAGAGGCCTAGTAATGAACCAATCATTTGATTCAGGTGTGTTGACCCAAGGTGATATCTAAAACCTGCAGGACACCGGCCCTCGAGGCCTGGAGTTCGACACCCCTGTACATAACATTTTTTTTGTGCAGCTGAAAGCCTAATAAATAAATTAAATAATAAATTAAAAATAAACAAAATAAAAGAAATAAAAGAAAATGAAAAATAAATGCAATAACATAAAATAAAATATAATGATGAGATGAATTGAAAAATAAAGTAAAATAACAACATAACATAAAAAATACGAGTAAACCATAGCCAAGAAACCACCAAGGAGATAGAAAAAAGCAACAGTTTTCAAACAAACATTTTCCTACACAGAGAAAAAATAAAAAAGATTGGCCAAATGTGTGTATAGAAACCGAACACTAAATGCATTTTGCACAAAATATCTTCTTTAAGTTTAACTATTGGGTAAGGAAATTTTAGTTTAAGGTTAAGTTTAAAACGATTATTTTCAATGTTAACTATTTATTTTCTTTTTTGTTTGTTTATTT